GCCGGCCCGTCCGAGTACACGAGCAGTGGGTCAACCGCTGACCTCCAGGAGTGAACTGGTCAACCCACGCGTCCTGAAGGTCAGCTCCACTCACCAAGTTCATGGAGAACGAGGGGAGGTGGAGGCCAGACAGAGAGCCAGACGGGACCGCCGGACACGGCAGAACCGTGGAGGAGTGTGCAAGGACCGGACCCCCAGAGGGGTCAGCCAGAGAGACTGCCACCGGCCGGCTGAGCGGCGTGAGTGTGGTGCAGTCGCGATAGAAGGAGCGGGAAGCTCCTGAGTCAAGCGTGAAGGTGTGCAAGGCCGCAGCAGGCGCAGCACCAGAGAGAGCAGACTCTCCAGCTGCTGGAGCAGTAGACTCACTAGCGCCTAGAGCAGCAGCCTCACCGGCACCTGGAGCAGGAGACGCACCAGCACCTAGAGCAGCAGCCTCACCAGCACCTAGAGCAGTAGACTCTATACCTGGGTCAGGCGGCACACACAGGTAACAGGCACCCTCAGCACTAGTAGGCAATGCATACATGGCAGTGAGGATAGCATCATAGTCAAGAGCAAAGATATCTACCCTCTGCCTAAGTAGCTCCAGCCAGGAGGGGAGCTCAGCGTCGCCGCCAAACTTTGTACGCCAGGTGTCGCTCAGACAGGAGAAGCAGCGGGACTCTCTGTGACCAACCGTCCCGCAAGGCTGACCAGCCCGAGCACCTGTGCGAATGACGTACGGGCAGCGAGCAGTATTCCGTGACCCTCTACTCTGAGCGTACCACTCACGAAGCTTCTGGAACGTGAGGATCTCGCGCGGACGTTGCTGGAGCTGCATCTGGCCACCGCCAGTAGCAGCAGGAGTGACAGTGCAGCAGTAGTAGAAGTGACAGTTGGAACAACAGTAGCAGCAGGGCAGAGCAGCGCGGCTCAGTAGGGCAGGCCGGCGTGGCTCGGCCGAGCAGCGCGGCTTGGTTGGCAGGCAAACGCGGCACGCGCGGCAGCACGTTGGTAAGGCAGGCGCGCGGGCAGTGCGGGTAGGGCAGGTGCTCACCAGAGGCGGGTAGGGCAGATGCCACCGGCGGCAGTGGGCAGACGCTCAACGGGCACGGATAGGGCAGGTCCGGCGCTCGGCGGGTGGCTGCAGCGGGGCCGCTACGGCGGCTACGACGGGGCCGCGACGGCGGCTGCAGGCACGATGGCGGCTACGGCTGGGCAGGGCTGCGACAGCGGCAACGGCGGGGCAGGGCCGCGACAGCGGCTACGGCGGGGCCGCGACGGCTGCTGCAGACGCGACGGCGGCAGGGCAGGGCAGGGGCGGCCGCCCCAAGGGCGGGCGCGGGGTGGGGCAAGGCGCGGGCGGGCCGCAGATAAGGCAGGGTGCGGCGGCCAGGGGGCGCCGCGACGAGCTGGGGCGACGCCGCGCGGGTCCCGCAGGGGCATCGCGACGAGCAAGAGCGGCGCCGCGCGGGTCCCAGAGGGGATTGCGACGAGCAGGGGCGACGCCCGGGTCCCGCAGGGGCGTCGCGACGAGCAGGAGCGGCGCCGCGCGGGTCCTGCAGGGGCGTCGCGACAAGCAGGGGCGACGCCCAGGCCCCGCAGGGGCGTCGCGGGGTCCAGGGGCGGCGTCGCGGGATCCAGGGGCGGCGTCGCGGGGTCCAGGGGCAGCGCCGCGGGGTCCAGGGGCGGCTTCGCCGGTGCAGGGCAGGCCCGCGCGCGGCCTGCAGGGCAGGGTGACGGGTAGGCGCTCGAGGGCGCGGGTAGGGCAGGCGCTCGAGGGCGCGGGTAGGGCAGGCACTCGAGGGCGCAGGCAGGGAAGGCGCTCTAAGGCGCGAGTAGGCAGGCGCAAGGCGGGTGATGGGGCAGGCAGGCACGGCAGTGCGCTTCGAGTAGGGCAGAAAAAGAAAGTTCGTGATGGGCCCTAAAAAAAACGTTCCCACTAGGGAACTTGCTTTGAAACCATGTGAGAATTTGAACAAGGAATGACTAGAATGAGAACAGTACAAGGTTTGTATAGGCGAAACCTAACAGGGCTGTATCTGATAAGGAGTGCCCCACTACAGCCTAGAATATAGTTTTGACAGCGCCCTGCCCTACAATTATAGTAGGGCTGAGAGTCTTATAATGAGGACTTTACTAAAATCTAACAGCATATATAATGGATTGTATTTCTAATACTCCCCCTTGCTATAGATTTTAGTGAGTTTAATATTGGAGGATAGCTACAAACGACTGATTGCGGAGCGAGTGTGAGGTGACTGTTGCGATTCAAGATCACCCCAGCGATGATTACGGCGACGAGAAGGATGTGTTGGGTTTTCGGTGGGATCTCGTAAGGTAGGTAGGCAAAATGTCGTGTAGAGATGTTCTGTATGTTCCTTGTCATGTGTTCGCAGTCTTTCCACCCATATGGCGTGACTGCAGCTTTGGAATGAACCCTTTCAGCATATCGGCTCGCTGATGCACGACTTGCTGCCATGTGATGTAACTACCTGCAGCAGCCGGTGGTTCGCGTCACCAGCACCTAGCAGGGGAAGCACCAACATCTGGCGCAAGATTGTTGCAACAACTGACACGCGACTGCTCGAGCTAGCCTTCAACTGCAACAGCAAGTCTATTGGTGCGCGAGCGTCTATGTCTACCGTCAGTATTGGCAGGTGTTATTAAGAACTAGAAACAGCAGAATGAATATTGACTGGCAAGGTTGGGATACAAGTAGGAACATTATAGCATAACATGCATATTTGTGATTTAACCCAACCCTATAGGCTAAGTGGGGGACAACAAAAGGTCACAACACCAGTCAAATGAAGAAGCAAAGCAAAGCTCAGGGTGGATCTTAAGATCACCACATTGTCCGAGCACAAGCAAGTGGCCACAAGGTCAGTATAGATGCAGTGTTATAACAACAAAAGCAGTACGATGATCACAACCTAGCAAGCGAACACATGCAGGTATAAATATATATAGCAAAGTACAGCAAGTACAAGACGAGCTAAAGAGGTAAGCAATGTGAGACAGAGTAGGCACAAAGCCAAGAGGAGTATAGAAACACTGATGAACACTAGACCCTAGGGCCTTTGTGAAGATATTAACAGTGTTGGTCTCTTAGGCCACGTAAGAAAAGGGAAGCTGACCACGCTGCTGCAACTCTAGCACGAGGAAGTAGCGAAGGGCAATGTGCTTCGTTCTGTGCTCTAGTCTTTGCTCTCGACATAAGGCAACCTTGTTGTCGACGTACAAAACCGGAGGAGACGAGGCCGCTCACTTAAGTCGGGGAGCAAGTAGGTCAGCCAGTGTAATTCCTGCACATCCATAGCCCTAGCGTAGATCTCGGCCGCACGGCTGGAAATACGCACAGAAGACGAGCGAATGGACCTTCACGAGACAGAGCCAGTGCCGAGAATAAAAGTGTAGCCCAGTGACGACCGCAAAATCTCCTGGTCGTCGGCCCACGAAACGTCTGAGTGCCTTGTGAAGTACCAGCCAAGTAGCACAGCAACCTCGTAACAGCCCGCCAGTGCTAAGGGCGGTGTCTCTCGGGTGCAACATAGTGCGCCAAGATGCTAAGAGGGTACGCGAGGTCAAGCCGAGTGCACATCATCAGGTACATGAGGCAACCCACAAGCTCTGGATACAGACCACTTGGCTCTACGAACTCATCCTAAGCTGAGAGCAAGTGGCCTGTGGGCAGAGGAGTGGGCTGTGGCAAGGAGAACTGAAAGCGGAAACGCCGAAGGACCTGCTGCACTATGTGTGACTGAATCCGAGTGATGGTGCATGCTGCTATGTCCCGGGTGATCTGCAAGCCAAGATAGCTCCGCAGCTCACGCAGGTCAGTGCATGTTTGTCTCTTCTGTAGCTCATGACAAAATAGTATGCTTCTACGGTGTTAGGCTACAGTGGGGCTAACCTTAGAGGGTACAATTTTCTAGGGTTTCCTACTTATACTCCCATTCAGTTAGTCAAACGCCATTTCGTTGTTTCAGATTCTACCATGGAAACATTTCGTAGGTTCATTCTGCTTGCCCTACTGCCCTACGCGTTGGTGCCCTAGCGCGCCCCACTACCCTACCACGTGACGTACTGCCTGTTGCCGCCCGCTGGCCTACCGTTGCGCTGCAGACTGCCTTTGCCCTTGTGTTGCGCTTTGCGCGCCGCGCGCTACCCTGCCTCGCACCTTCGCGCTGCCCTACGCGCCATGTGCTGCCCTGCCCCGCGCGTTTATGCTGCCCCACGCCTTCGCGCTGCCCTGCGCTCTTTTCGCTGCCTTGCCCCGCGCGTTTGCGCTGCCCCGCGCGCTCGCACTGCCCTGCACGCTGTGCGCAGCCCCTGCCCGTGCGTTCCTTCTGCCCCGTGCGCTCTCGCTGCCCTGCTCACAGCGCACAGCCGCTGCCCCGCGCATTCCCGCTGCCCCACGTGCTCGCACTGCGCTTCACGCCGCGTGCAGCCGATGCCCCGTGCGCCTCCGTTGCCCCGTTCGCCGCTGCCGCATCGTGCGCCGCTGCTGCCCGTGCAATGCTGCCGCCGGTGCACCACACCGCAACCGCTGCTGCCCGTGCACTGCACCGCCACTGTTGTTGCCCTTGCGCCGCTGCTGCTTGTGTGCGGCGCTGCCGCCATTGCCGCCTGTGCACCATAGCACCGCGGGTGCTTGTGTGACGTGACCGCCCAAGTGCCACTGTGGTCAACCTATACTTATATAGCTTTCTATGTATTAGTCTAGGTGTATTACATTCGACCTATTAGAGTTAGCTTTCCTACATATGCTTGTTTGTTCATTTTTCCTAACTCATTCATTCTCGTGCTTTCTTAGTTACCACGTTAACATGATATAGAGCATACGTTTCGATCAGAAGGGCCCGAAGCGCCCCATCGCCCGTAGCCCCGTTGCCCGAAAAGCCCCGTCGCTCGTAGCGCCCCATAGCCCAAACCGGCCCCTCACCTCCTCGTTGCGTCCCCTCCCCGTAGCCTCCTTGTCACGTCCCCTCCATCGCCTCCCTGTCACCTCCCCATAGCGTCCACTCCCCATCGCATTCCCGTCACTTCACCGTCGCGTCCCCTTTCTGTCGCCTCCCCGATGCGTCCCCTCCTCGTCGCGTCCCCTCCTCGTCGCCTCCCCGTCACCTTCCCGTCGCATCCTCTCCCTGTCGCCTCCCCTTCCCCTCCTCGTCGAATCCCTCCATGTTGTCTCCCCGTTGCATCCCCTCTCCGTCGCCACTACTTCCCCTCCCCGTCGCCTCCCCTTCCCCCTTCCGTCGCGTACCCCTCCGTCGTGTACCCCTCTCCGTTGCCTCTCTTCACCTCCCCGTCCCCTTCCCCGCCACCTCACCTGCTAACCGCCGCCCCACCCTGTACCCTCTGCCCCACCCTGTATTCGCCGCCCCACCTGCTCCACACCCCCCCCCCCCCCCTTGCTATTCGTCGCCCCACCTGCTACCTATCAAACTATGATTGTTATAGTTTGTGTTTGGTAGTCTAGGTGGTGTACATTTGTGTTTATGGTTGCTACGACTGGCTCGGGTTTGTATTCGTGTATGCCATTGTTGAGCCAATTCATTATTCCATTACCACGTTCACATCGAGCAGTTCAATTCCCATGGGCTTACTGCCCCACGCTCGCCCGTTAGTAATGTGTTACCCATAGTGCCCCGTCACCCCTTCGCCAGCCCTCGAATCGCGCGCTAGAGAGAGACCCCCGCGGATCCCCGAATCGCGAGTTAGAAGGACCCCCGCGGGTCTCTCACGACCTAAGAAGGCCCCCGCGGGCCCTTGAATCTCAAGCTAGAAGGACCCCCGCGGGACCCCCCACGTCGCGACCTAGGAAGACCCCTGCAGGCCCCCGAATCGCGAGTTAGAGTACGCTTCCCGCCCGTAGCCCGTAGCCTTTGCAGCCACGTCACCCCGCAGCCCTCCCCGTCGCGTCCCTTCCCCGTCGCCTCCCTGTTGCATCCCCTCCCCGTCTCCTCCCCGTCGCATCCCCTCCTTGTCGCCTCCTCGTCGCGTCCCCTCTTCGTTGCCTCCCCTTCCCCTACCTGTCGCGTCCCCTCCCCACCGCCCTGCAGCCCGCCAGCTTCGTACGCCAGCCCCGTCGCTTCCCCGTACACCAACCCGCGTCCCCATCCGCCAGCCCCATCGCCAGCCCCGTCGCCAGCCCTGTTTGCCAACCCCGTCGCCAGCCCCGTCCGCCAGCCCCATCCGCCAGCCCCGTCCGCCAGCCCTGTCCGCCATCCCCATCCCCCAGCCCTGTCCGCCAGCCCCGTCCGCCAGCCCCGTCTGCCAGCCCCGTTGCGTCCCCTCCTCGTACGCTCTGCAGTACGCCAGCTTCGGCTGCCGCCAGCCTACCGGGAGCAGCTTAGGCTGCCGCCATAACCAGCAGCAGCTTAGGCTGCCACCAGAACCAATAGTAGCTTAGCCTGCCACCAGAACCAGCACCAGCTTAGGCTGCCACCATAACCAGTAGCAGTGTAGGCTGCCACCAAAACCAGCAGCACCTTAGGCTGCCACCAGAAACAGCAGCAGCTTAGGCTGCCACCAGAAACAGCAGCAGCTTAGCCTGTCACCAGAACCAGCAGCAACTTAGGCTGCCATCAGAACCAGCAGCAGCTTAGGCTGCCACCAGAACCAGCAGCAGCTTAGGCCCAGCACCAGCAACAGCTAGGCTGCCACCAGAACCAGCAGCATCTTAGGCTGCCACCAGATGGGGAGTGGCTCAGGCTGCCGCCTGAACAAGGAGCACCTTAGGCTACCGCCAGAACCCAGCAGCAGCTTAGGCTGCCACTAGCAGCAGCATTGTCTGCCCCGAGTAGAACTAGCAGCAACTTAGACTACCGCTAGCAACACGCTGCCCCCAGCAGAACCAGCAGTAGCAAAGGCTGTAGCCAGCCACTGCTCCTAGCCACCACGCTCGGCCGTCTCTAGCGCCTACCATGGCGTGTGCTAGAGTTCTGCAGCGACAGCAGGATCAGCCGTAGCGACAGCAGCTACAGCACTCCCGGCAGTGGGGACCTGAGGGTCCTAGGAGTACCGGCCGCAGCAGCGGCTCAGCCAGCAGTGGGCGCGACATCGGTCCCTGCGGGTACCGGATCCTGACTGGCCCAGGTGCTGGCACTACCTGCTAAAGTGCTGACCAATCTGCGTCCCGCTGCTACCGTCGCCTTGACGATCTCCACCATGAGCGTTTTGGTCCTCACGCTATTACACCGCACTGGCTCTCGCGTCTTCGCCATCGCACTGTTGCACCAGTTGAGTCTCACCTACCTGGTCTAGGACCTTTCCCGACTGCACAAGTAGAGACCTACGTTTCCAGCCTTGGTGCGTGTGTAGTTTCGAGTCCAGGCACCTCTGAGGGTCTTTGTGTGAGGGCTGCAGCTACCACTGCTCTAGCAGCTGCCTTTGTCGCTGGCTCGGGTGCGACCTCACAGACTTCACAGCTTTCTTCCACCCTAGACTCTGAAGCGTCCAATTGTTTCTTTCGTGACTGTACTGACCTCACCTCCCTGCGCACTCCAGTCACTGTCGCCTTGGCTGACCCCTCCGTGGGACCTGTAGTTGCCCATAGCACCACCACTCTCCGGTGTCCGGCGACTCCCTCCAGGTTTCTCACAAGTTACTACACCCCCTTGTTCCCTAGGAACCTTGTGGGTGTCAGTCACCTCCATGACCTAGGAGTAGCCACTACTTTCCCACTTGACGAGCGTGTTGCCTCCTCCACAGTCAATGCCACTGGGGCCCCTCTGGTCACTCACGCACCCGTCGGTCCTCTGGCACCACCGTCTAGGTCACCCGTCGTTCCTGCGTCTCAATATGATAGTAAGTTACCGTCTGGTTTCAGGTCTCCCAGAGTTGCTTGCCCCGCTTCCTTGCTCATCTGCGCCGCCGTACACTCCTTGCGTCGAGGGTTCAGGGTTTACCCTATGGGCCTCAAGCTCCTCACACATGGACTCAACCCACTCAGGACGGGTTTAGGGTTTAGGCACTGATTTAGGCTCATGCACCTGACCCAAAAGACAGAAATCAAGTCCATGCTCACCCTCATCAACATCCACAAACATGCACTCCTCCAAATCATGCACATCATGGTTATGCATGCAAGCATATTGTGCACTTGGTGTGAACCTCTCAGGTGGCCGGGAGATGCGTGTGGTGCGGCGTAGAGGTGATGCCTCCCCATGCTCCAAACATTGCAGCTGCTCCTTCCAAGTCACTCTCTTCATGGGGGACCGTGGTGACTTGGACAGCTGCTGCTGCAGTACTTGCTGCCACCTACCCACAAGGAGAGGCGGTGTATGCTGCTGTGGTGGCTGCTGCGGCTGCTCTTGTTGCTGCAGCTGCCCCTGTGGCTGCTCCGGGTCATGGGCTGGTGCGTCAGGGTCAGCGGTAGAACCAGCACTTGGTGACTAACTAAGAGGACAGAAGGCCTTTGACCTCGTCTAGCAAGACCATGCTCGAAGACAAGAGAATGTCATCCACATAGAAGTATAGGGACAAATGCGGAGATAACTCTTTGGAGCTAGACTACGGGCTAGGCACGGGGTAGGAGGGATCTCTGCGTTCGTTCACTTAGTCGTTCTCTAGCACTTGTGCATTGACGGGGCAAAACCGCACGAGTTTCACTAGCAAAGGTTGAGAACAATGATAGCAACAACATTGGCAACACAAACTACATCTAAATAAGCAAGCTAGTCGCTCGATTGCCAGCGCAGCATGGTCGACCTCGTGCCAGCACGACTTGGTCGACCGCGCTCCAGCAGAGCAAAGTCATGGCCTGCCAACATTGCAAGTCCACGGTATGCCAATGGTGCAGCAAGGAGGCTGCACAGCGTTGCACCCGCAGGTGAATGGTGCACCAGCCTCGCAGGTGCGTGCAGCTGGTTGGTGCTCTACGCCTTGTCACGGGCACAGTGCAGACGCCTAGCTGACTCCACGCCAGCGACTGTGCCCACCAGCCACGTTGACCTCGGGATACCACCCCCGAGGTCGGCCTCGCAGAAGTCATCCAGACGACCTTCGCACACGTCGCCTAGGTATTCCGGTCGACGGGCAACCACGCCTGGTCGACCAGCCTTGTCCACCAGCTCGCCCACTGCCACAGGTCGGCTGATCCCCTCACACCCGACCAAGAGGTCGGCTCCGCCCGAGCGAGGACGGGGCCAAACAACACTCCGGTTGACAATCCCCTGCCGCGTTCGCACTTGGGCCCCCAGCCCACACGGCAGCACTTCTCGGAGAATAGCTCGTCGACGTGCACACAACACACAGCACGTCGGTCACCGCACCAGCCGTGCAAGCGGGCATAGTGTTGGTCCAACCCTACAGTTTGCACTCGGCTAATTGTCCGTATGCGTGCATGCGTGTGTGCATGGAATGGTATGAGGGCATGGGATAATATGTATTTCATGCTTATAATAGTATGTGAATGTTGAGTCAAGATGTCGAATATGTGTGTCGAGTCAATAGCGAGTTATCGCTAGTCGCGTATCACGCGGTCGTATGGTCCCGTGCGCGGTTTCTATTTTGTGGTGTGTCTCGTGCACGGTTTTTATGTTGTCATGTGTGGAACGTTCGGCATGTCGCAGGTGTGTACAGCAGACCCATCAAGAACTCAAGGATAAGTTTATGGTGAAGAACCAGAGCCTTGGCTTCAAGATTCAAGTAATCGCGAAGCCCGCGAAAAGGGTACACCTCAAGATATTGAAGATGGTTACATTACTTGGTGTAGTGTAGCATTTCACTTGGTGTAGGCCCTTGTGAAGGGTAGTTTTGAGACCCTTCGTGGTTGGGGACAGTGTGGCACTGTTCCACATCACTGTACCTCGGCTCTTGGGGTTTGTAGAGCTGGGAGTCTTTCCCAACTCGTAACTCCTCCTAATTTGTGTTCTAAGACTATAGTGGCTGCTGTAGTGCCATTCGTTCAAACCGACGTTGTGTCGTTAATGCTTGGTGAAATTGTGCGATCTAAATTGCCATTGTAGGCGACGGTAAGACGTTCCAGATTCAATTCAAATGACGTCATTTGAAGCTGTGACTTGAACGCTGTGAACGTTTGAAGACACTTTGCAAAAATCCAACTGTGCACTCTATCTTTCGTTATGGGCACATTGGAGCCTATTGTGGTTATAACAAGTGGTATCAGAGCGCCTTGGAGCAGCTTCGACTATGGCTGGACCTAAAGATAGGGCTAGCAGAGGTGCAGGTGGCAGTGGAGAAGCCCATGCTGAAGGCCAACCACGTGATTCAGCCATGGCGCCCGTGCAACCAAGTCTTGGCCCATCTAGGGATGAGCCTAGAGTGTTTGGCCTTGACAAGTTCAATGGTGACAACTTTGCTGAGTGGTCCT